ATATATATATATATAATTTCAACGAGGACCCAATAGCTGTCTATTATTTCATAATTGTTAGTTCATTATGCAGCTCCAAAATTGCAGCAGTACATTGATCACTTGGTAGCAGTAGTGAAACCAAGTCTGCATCACTTCATTGTCGTGCACGGTTTTCTTTCGATAAATTTGAAGTCAACTATATAATATCAGATTTCGACACACAAAAAAACAACTCGATTTGTCTAAAATTGAAAATCAAATTTCAAAAAAGGCCAGTCTTACTGGAAATGTAAAGGGCAAAGCTCTATGAATCCACAAATACAGTAAAATAGCATGGTTGAAAGGGTTTTGTCTTTAGCCCCCAAGGTGTCCATGTGCTGTCCCCATATTCTATAAACAACCTTTGTTCACTGTTTCAGCTTCACCAGACCACTTAGTTTTTATATTCTCACCGTCCAGACATATTTACCAATAAAAACTTCTGATCAAAACTATAATGTAAGAATAAAGCATCTCCATTTTTCCCTCCCTTTATAAACCATAAAACCTCTTGCACATATTGCAACACAAATAACTTGTAACTTACTCTTCTGGCTTTTCTTCACTTCTTTTCATTCTAAAATGGTTTCCCCAGAAACAGTTCAGGCTAGCTCTAAATGTATTGAACCGAATTCGAGTCCCCGGATTTCGTTCTCTGAAGATTTTCTAGATGAAAACAACTTCATTTCTACATGTCCAAATCCTCTTGCAGAGAAAAAAGAAAGAGAGAAAGCGTTTAACAAAGAATTTGAGTTTCTCTCGGCGAATTTAACGAGCCAAAACATGATAACCGCAGACAAGCTATTCTGCGAAGGTAAGTTGCTTCCTTCTTGGGAAATGCATCATTCTGAGAAACTCAACAAGATTAGCCTCAAAGCAGAGAATGCTAAAGAGGAAACAGATGGGACAGAGACTAGTAACAAGGAAGAAGCCAGAATAAGTTGGTTTCTTGATGATGATCCCTCTCCTCGACCTCCTAAATGCACTGTTTTATGGAAGGAGTTATTAAAGTTGAAAAAACAACGCGCTTCTACCTTGTCTCCATCGTCTTCTTCTTCCTCCTCTTTGTCCTCTTCTAGAGGCTCACTGGTGGACGTGCCTCCAGTTGATGAAAGTAAAGAACGGGTAGGACCTCGAGACAAGACTGTGAAGAGAATCAAGAAAGGTCTGGAGAGAACAAAATCAGCCAGTATGCATATAAGACCGATGATAAATGTGCCTATTTGCACACAAGGAAAAAACAATGCACTGCCTCCCCTTTTCTCCATAAGGAAAGGAAAACTAGAGAGGTAAGTACAAGAAGCTGGTAGCTGTTTGTTGGGTGATATGTAGAAATGTTATTAATTCCTTGGTCCTTTTTTTTAAATCAGAATGCTGACTTTACTTCTGCAAGAATGTTTCTGCAGTTGATATCCATTGGTTCTAATAAGATTGCATTGAAGGAGAAGGGGTCAACCAAAACTAATAGAGATTGTTGTAGTTGCTTTAGATATCTAGTAATGAATTGAATGAAGTGACAAAAAATGAGCCCACTCCAGATTTTCTTTGGACAAGGCTTAATTACTTGTTTTAGATTTTCTATGAAGAGATGAGGAAACATGATCCAGAGAACATGGATCTTCTCATTCCAGCAAAACTCATCCAACACACAAGGGAATCTAAACTATTTAATCATACACAGTAACACACAATTACAAGGATCTGATTGCAATATGAGTAACGTATACAAAACGTAGATAAATGTAAATATACAGATAAAGATTGTGATACAGAGACGATTGTTCAAAAAATGACCGGATATAAACATCGTGCTAATATACAATTTGACACACATTTTTATTTGTCAATCAAAGAATACATGTTGGCACTGATAACAAGTCTCGACTCTCAAAAGAAGCTGTATGCATGTGGTTAAGGCATAGTCTTACTTCCAAGATTTAGAGAATTTTGGTCATGCTCCTTGGACTCATGAGTGGTTGTTAGCGACTAGTTTACATGATTTTGTCATGACGGTGGCAGTATCAAAAAGGGATTCCCGGGGGTAACCCTGTGAAGAACATACTTGAATAAATTAATCGTCTAAATTAGGAAAGGAGGAAATGTACATCAGCTAACGGAATATTACCTTAGTTCCAATCCAGGTTTTCCAGAAACATTGCTTGGTACTTGGCCGGTCAGATTATTGTTATATAGGAAGCTGATAACAATGACCACTAATTAGTATGTCAATATTTTTATTGAGTAAAAACAATCTCCCTTCTTAAACACGCACATGATTTCATAGCCAACAGACAGCGAAGGAACAAAACTTCTATTTCCACATCTATTCCCATTTCCAAATTTTAAACAAAAACGAAATAAAGATAACAGAAAATAAACCAGGAAAACTCTCTCTAGCTTGAAATTTCAGACTATTGGCTTATGCAACATTTGCAATTAAGAAAGATCATATAAAGTATTCTGCAAGATTGGCTGAAATGTGGTGTATCTACACTTCCACTTCACACATTTGTGGAATAAACTGGCCTTTAACTTGGAATTTGGTTGAATTTTGCCCATTCAGGTAGTCCATTCCCTATTTAGAGACCATCATCTAATCAGGATTGATTCATTACCAAGCCATGGAAAACTGTGATTTTTTTACTATCACTCGCAGAAAAAGGTCAAAAAGGATAAGGTTACTGTATCTGGTATATGGCTTATGTGAAAAAGGATTATGTCTAGAACTATCCTTCCCATGATTATTTGAGAGGACCTAACAAAACATTCCACTGATTCCTAGTGATCAGAATGCAGCAAAGCAGCAGCATGGGATTAAATTAAGCAAGTATTATGGATTGCAAACATAGTGCATGTGATAAATTGCAACATGAGCATATTCCGAATGTGATAATGGATGTTCGCATGAAACATTAAATTTCAACTCAGACAAAATGGTGGCAATAGAGCTTACAGCTCACGCAAGTTTTTTAAGTTTCCCAGCGATGGGGGAATCTGTCCACGAAGCCAATTGTCTTCCAAATGCCTGAATTAAAAGACAAAGTGTATTAGGGGAAGAAATTAAGTTTGAAATAAAAATTTAAATGACATAAAGTTGTCCACAATACATGAATGCCAAAACGGTCAATATCTCAACAGCATTCAAGTCACTCTGGCATGCAAAAAAATGTGGCACATACTGTCTTGTATGAAATCTTTCTCTATCCATTACAGTAAATAAAATTAACTGCGAAAAAAAAAATCTCAGGACTCACAAAATTTCCAATCCCTTCAATGAATTGAGGTCGGGTATAGTTCCTGACAGACTATTGTTCCCGAGCGAGCTGTCAATGGGAAGAGATTATTTATGAAAGAATCACCTCTATAAATGTTATATATCAGCAAATTAATATTCACGCACATGGTTCTCAATGCTGTCATCTTGGCAATATTTGGTGAGATAGATCCTGAAAGACCCATGCTCGTCAGGTTTCTGTGAACAATACGAAAAAGATGAGTAGACTGCGATTCCATCCTCTCATGATGAAAATGGATGGTTCGGACTATATTATAATTCCTAGTGTATAACAAGTTCCAACTCACAAGGTTACTATACGGATTCGGGGTCCTTCTGAGCAAGTAACTCCAGTCCATGAGTATTGACGGGGTAAACATGGATCGCCATACCAATCAACGGGAGGGTTGTGGAAACTTTCTTTCAATATTTCCATAGCAACAACTGCAAATAAACAGAACCCTGATTTGTATTCTCGTAATTTCAAAGAAGTAATTAGTTCGTGAAAAGAGAACGAAAGAAACATTACAAGTACTAACTGAAGACAACTGAGAGGTACCTATTCTAGGTGAAGAGAAAAATCACTATACAACAGGTTGAATGAATTACAAAAAAATTATACTTCCTTCACTATTATGAGGACCGGTGTCAAAAAAAGCGACTCATGCAAGCCAAGGCCAACGACTTCATTTCAGAATTATGATTCCAAAAACGTTTGCTATGTCACTAGATTATTAATTTCAGATCAATAGACCTTATCTAAAACTGGGTATACAATCCAATAATGGTAGCATGCTCTGTAAGAGTATTAGGAGCTGAACCATACCATCACGTGCAAGAGTTTTTCCTCCAATTGTCAGAACTTGAAAAGCCTCTCCTGCATTGATTAGAGGACTGACACTTGATCCAGGAGAAGAAGTTAATGTTAAATTTGTCGAACCAGAAAGAGGCCACTGGTTTGCAAAGACAACAACACCAGCTGGAGTCACACTAAGGTTATTGTAATAAGTTATCCCATTTATGGTTATGTCCAACATTCTTGAGCTCATTGAAACATGATCATCCGCAAAATAAAGTGCGATGTAGTATGTCCAGTTAGGGAGAGATGCTGGAGGCCACATTAAGACCAGGGGTTCTGGCTGGCCTTTTGTCAGTCTTGTCTGAAACACTCTCTCCGGGGGTAGATTCCAGATACCAGGAACAGAAACATTTTCAGAACTCAACGTGGGAGAATTACTCTCTCCAAATGGTGCCCAATAACGATCAAATAGGTCGTCAGGATATCTGTTTTTGGGCATGGTTATAGTTAGCTAATTGGCAGAATGAATAAAATACTTTATAACAAATATTGTGATGATAAAAGAACATTCTTTTTACCAGTAAAAATGGGCTTTATGCAAGATTCCAGAATTATTACATTATCGAGTTTATTCTTTCTCGAAATATAAAAACTTCTAACATTATTGTGAAGCAAGACAAACATATTTTTTTTTCCCTTGAGCTAGGTATGAAAAGTGGCCACCAGCTAGGCAGCTACAAGTTTTAACCAAAATTTGGAGGGAAAGACTCCAAAAATTCCAAATTATGATATGAATCAATACAAGAGAAGTAATACATACACATTTAAGCAAAATTTAAAGGGAAAGACAATCCCAGACGTCCGAATTAAAAAAGTACTAAATGCCAATGTCCAAACAATCCAAGATTTGCCCCTAATTTTTCTACTTTTCAAGCACTCGTTTTAAGATATGCAAATTCCATAGAAGCAAGAAGTTCATAAATCAACAAAATCAATTACATCAAAAGCTCACCTTATTCCCGATCCCCCGAGCCCAAAACCGTGCCTTGCAACTAAACTCAAAGCATAAGTATTAAAATCTGTGGAATTGTACAATTGATCCGACAAAACCAAAACCTCCAGGGCAGAAATAAAAGGGTCCGAATCTGTATATGTATTAGCAGCCAAACATACACTCAAATTCTTCCCAGTAGGCTTAAAAATTCCTTCATAACATTTAGAATCTCCATTCATATAATATTCTGTTGTATTCACCACGGACCATGGTGTCCCATCAACTATCTGATCAAACACCGGTGGCCGTGGGTTAATATAACCACCGATTCCGCCATAGAAATATGTAGTCCTTACCATGTACTTCCTCGTACGGTCAACTGGAATTTCGTAGCAGAACTTCTTGAAAAGGTTGTTTTCCAATGGAAATGTACGGACAGTGGCAAGAGTTGGGAATAAAACCTGTGTTGTAACGTTCTTCGGAGTCCCGGAGGATACGTAGCCGGTGTCCGGCAGCCATTCTATGCCGTTGATCGTGGAGATTTCTGTCGCGCCACAATCAATATGTACACCTGAAGGAAAAATTGAATTGTATAATTAGACTTTGTAATTTGAAAAAAATATCAAATTTTTGTACGCGCTGTTTTCAATATTAACTAAAAAAGAAAAACGAAAAGATATAAGGATAAAAGGGCTTATGGGTTTTACCTCTGGGGGGTTGAGAAAGGGAGGTGGAGAGGGCGGAGAATAAAGAGAGGAAGAGAAAGGTAGCAATCATGGCGAATGGGGTCAATTGAAAAGAGAGACACATGAGAGAGAAAGTAAAGGTTGAGACTTTGATAGAGAGCAAAGTGTTGAAGGAGGTTTGACGGAGTCGATGGTATAGTGGAGTTGAAAGGGTCAGTTGGAGTTGGGTGAATTCGACAAGAAACGAATATATATATATATATATAGAGAGAGAGAGAGAGAGAGAGAGATTGTGAAGCGGAAAGAATATAGAATCATATATGGGGGGTGAGGTGGATGGAGTTAACGCGGGAAATAACCAGGTCAGAACGGAAGCTTGTCTCAAGAGTGATTTAACGTGTGTCTTTCTTTTTCTTAATCATGTGTCATAATTATATTTTTCAGGACAAACTGCACTAAGGGTCCTCAATCTATTGTCATAAAAACATGTC